ACACAGACAACCTCTCGTCAATATGCGTTTTTCGCATTGCGTTGCTGCAAAAAACGCATAAAAATGCATGAATTATTTGGTGTACATTTCTTGAACAACTAATGAAGACTAGGTGGAGGTATGCAGCATGCAGCTCAGGATCGAAAGGCCAAGGCTGTATCCGAAATGGGAGGGTCCCAGCATGTCCCCCTTCTGGAATCGATTTGTTATTGAAACGAATGGACGAATCGTAGACGAGCAGTTTTCCCACTTGTGGAAACAGATTTTCGACTTTTAATACAATTAGAGTGCTACTGCATTATGCCTGCCTGCCAAAAAGCTCTCTGTATATCTTCGTATACAGCCAGCTAATACGAACTAGTAGATTTTAACTACAGTCTTGTGAAAGAGCTTTTCCGGACACTAAACATTTACAGTTTAAAAAAAAAATATTGAAAAATACTTTCGAAGTGCGTCCCCAAACGTGCGTTCACAAGTTTCGAGGGCTTCTCTTAGACAGAGTTCATCCTCGCCAACGTACGCAGCGCTCAGCCCGTAAAGCCATCGTTCAACGGCCACAAAAACATCAATTAAGAGATCAGCAAACAATGCATTGCATAAATCCATCGAGAGCAAACGCTGTGCAATCAGTATCGCTTTCTGAAAATATGATATTCACGTGCAAAGTGTGGCCTGTACAGTTTGGACGAGGAGGAATAAACCAGCGTATGGCAGCCCAGTGATCCTCTTTTTGTACAAACTATGAAATACTAATTAAAAAAAAAAAAACTCAAAATGTAATGCTAATCATACCACTTCAGCGTCACCGACAATTTCACAGTGATAACCTAGGCAGTTGTGGTAGCATTTCAAAAAACAAAAAAAAAGTGAAGTTAATCCATCTGAACAATTTTCTGGTTTCCTTCTCGCCTATATTACGTTATCAGATATGACTAGTCCCGAATTCTACTTCCACATCCTTCAAAATAATGGCAGTGCCCATTAGTTCTGATGATATCCCTTAATCCAACGCACAATTCACAGATGATGCACTCACATTTTTGACGTGAGTTTCAGCGCTTGTGATAAGTTTCAGCACAGTTAACCACAGCGCAACTAAAACTTCGTCGAAATCACTAATTGTTTTATCAAATGTTCCGTGCTGCAGGATTGATCTAAAAACGCATTTTAAAGCAAAAAATTTGCCAGCAAAGCAATAACTTTATTCGACCCGAACCAACGGTCCCATGAGGGTTCCGAAAGACACGTGAGTTGATTTTACATCTCTAAGACCGAATACACATATCCTAAAATATATCCAAAAATTTCAGCATCCTATCTTTCGTTATTTTAGAGGTTAATTATCGTCGCAGATGTACACAGATATACGCAAAGAAATAGACGGAAATGGCCTTCTCGTATCGCACTCTTCTAGCAGAAATTTACAATAAAACGGGAAAAAACAAAGCAGAAGATATGGTTGACGATTATAAATGCGATGAGTTACGCGAACGGAATAACTAACAATAAGATATTCTGGAGCAACGAGTCACATCCGGATAACGAAGAAACAGTCAATATAACTTCATTCAAAATAATGTGGCCAAGTGGAGTTGCAATAGAAACCGTCTTATTTTCCTCGTTAATTTGAAATTTTATCGTGGTCTGTCCATCAGAAACATCTGAAATTTCCCCCTCATTACTATTCAAAGTGTTTTTATAATTCAAAACAACAATTCGAGAACTGCAAGTTTTTGAATATTAGAAACGTCGAAAAAGTGTTGATTGTGCAAAATTTATTAGCGCAAATTCTAACAGATTTGAATACCAGTATAAATTAATTGTAAAACGAAAATTGTTTAAAAAACTAACAAATTCTCGAATAAAAACTGTTGTCGCCAAAAACTAACTTGGGTTTTAGTTTAACATTAGTATTCGATTAAAAAACTTCGGACTTCTGCTTTGATAAATAACTTTCATATACATTTATTTCACACCTACTCAATTAGTATTTAATGAATTTTTGTTTCAATCAGTGCCTTCCATGCCAAGTTAAATCGTTCTACCACCATCTTAGCACACAATGTTAGACACTGCGCTATGTTTCACATAAGTTGTGGAAGTTCTATGATGCTCTATCAATTTTTTTAAAAAAAAAGTGGCTTGTGAATCAGCCGCTCATCAGCGGACAACAGTTACAGGTGCATATCGAGAGGTCCAATCCGTCCCGTGACGCCGTCCTATTTTATCCAAGATTCTCAGCAGCCCCTCTCTCCCTGCAGTTATCAATCTGCCGTCGCAAATTGGGCTTGTTTATATATTTTGCATGTATATGCATACATATATGACATATTTTTCACGCATAACTTGACAATTTCGAATTTAATGAATGAATGTTTCGCTTACTTTCCAGTACCATAACCAACTGTTTTTGCACAAACAATCTTGTTGGCAAGTCGAGCAATTCTGCCAATCTGATGATACAGTCCTGGACCAGGCTACCCATTTTTCCATAGACGAGACGAGATGAAAGCGTCGCAATCAGTTTCGCTATCGTCCATATGATTTGCTCTAAAATGATCCACAGTTACAGCATTTTCGGGAGTGAAAATTTAAAATGACGACAACAACAACAATTTCCAAGCCAAGTAGTTGCCTAGCAACGAAAAAAAAACCTTTAAATCTGTTCCCATTAGCAAATGCGATTCGACTAAGAATAATTCATTAAATCAGAAGAGCAGTCTTTATGGATTGCCTGGGAGCAAAGCCGCATCCTGAACAGCACATTCACACCAAAGTTTTATACCTTATTAGTAAAAAATTTTAGACAGCCAAAAAAAGCGTGGTTTGGGACGAACCCGAATTAAAGATCAATGCACTACAACATCGATTATGATATAAATTATCAAAACTAGTACCACAGGATCAACTGTTGCACTTTAAAATTACATAAATGGCTCATGCTCACATCCTACTCCAGTTCCACTGCGCTCCAACAAGCACTCAATCTCCACCTCTCATCCCGGACAGCTTTTCATGTCCACCAAACAGTGCTATTACACAGAAGCATGAAAAAACAAACAACCTTTTGCTATAACATTCGGACGATCGGAATCGACATCGGCTGCCCAGTACACTTCCAAAAGATCCGGAAAATGCATCAGATGTTCCACGCTATCGCCACGTAACAGACTCTGCCGCAAATTTTCGCCAAATTCCTCGCCGACAACTTTGTAAAACATATATGCATCATCCTGTGAGCTAGAACAACGAAACGAAATGTTAAATTTGGCAATTCTTAAATTTCACTAATTAAAAGCGATTTACAGCTGTCTGTTGGAAAAAAAAAAAACCCACTGCTGGGAGCACGCAAGAAGATTCGAGAAGTAGGCGAGCAGGAGCGCACGAGGAACACTCAAAAATGATGAGTTCCTCAAGCTTCTCGTATGTGGATATATCGCCTCTGGACTGGCGCCCGCACAGCATATATAATTGATAGATTTTATATTACGAGTTTAATGTCATTGCTGTGTTATGTCATTATTATTGTCATTATCATTATTGTTATTATCGTTATTATCACTTTCATCATTATTATTGCTATTATTATTGTTACTATTATCATCATTATCATTATTAACATCATTACTTTTAATATTATCACTGTTGCCATTATTATTATTACTATTATTATTACTACTATTACTTTAGGATATAATGCGCCACTGGCTGGACAGTGGCTTACACTGTGGCCGTCTGCGTCTGGTTTTTGTGGAATATTCGCATTTCTCGCCGAGCTCTGTTTTTTTAGAGGAAATCAGCGGGTCATCTTCCAGCAACACCGAGTACGGGTCCTATCTTGTTGACGGCCGAGTTCTACGGTCAAATTTGTCGATGATCGTGTTGGGCGACAATCAGAAGGAGGTCCGAGGGGTGGACGTAACAGATCAGCTGGCGCTTGTAAGGAGCCTCAAATGTGGCAGTCATC